CAAGGTAGCAGCGATGCTACAGGCGTCTGGCCCAAGCATTGGCGTACAGCCGACAGCCATCGCTCGAAGAAGAGTGAAGATTGGGGAGAGGAGACGATTGACAGGGGGTCGTCCAACCAAGCAAGCAGCAGTTGCGGAACATGGCTATGCCAGTGGCTGTCAGTCATCTCGGCTTCCCCGTAAAAAGCGTGTGGCTGCACCACATTCCCTCAGCCATGCTGTCACAATGTGCCAATCTCTGGGGGAAACACATAGTGCTAAATAATTAGATAGGAATAACCATTTGTCTCTGACGCATTGGACGCAGGAAATGCTGACAAATTCACAAAGAAAGTGAGGCCATTTGTATTGACCTGTGCGCCATCTAATGAGCAATTAAATAAACCTGCTCTATCTCCCCCCAAGTCTTTGGGTTACTAACGAAGACTGACAAAAAAATCCTTCTGAATCAGTTCTTGATTTCACGTTATAAGAGTCAGCACATAACATAGTCCTTCTGTCACGCAGGAGGTCGTCGAGCTCTACGTGTTCTGTCGGGAGGCGGAGTTCCAGGGGCACCCACTTCCCTGCGCGGGGTCGCGACTCTGGCCACATTCGGCCTGCTAGGGGGTGCAGCAGCGTGGCGGCTGATCGCAAATATAATTAAGAAGCTTCAAACACTTATCAATCGCAGGCTTTGCTACATCCTAGGTATATTTTGGCAGAATAGCGAACGTCGATCTATGGCAACGCACGGAACATGAGAAGATCGAAGTTACTATCAGACGAAGGAAATGGCGGTGGATTGGACACACCCTAAGGAAACCGACGACCAACATCATGCGGCAGTCCTTAGAGTGGAACCCACAGGGGAAAAGGAAAAGAGGACGACCTAAGAAATCGTGGAAGAGAACAGTCACAGAAGAACATCAGGAGATCGGCATGACGTGGGAGCAGATCAAGCGGACAGCACAAAACCGAGTCTGCTGGAGAAAACTAGTAGAGGCCCTATGCTCCGGTAGGAGTGAAGAGGATTAAGTAAAAGGGGTGCAGCAGGAGTAGTAGGCGGGGCAGCAGTTGTGACACGGGGCGTCCCGCTGGTACTGGGTGCTGGCGATGGCACTGATGGTGGTTCAGCAGATGGGAGTGGTGCTGGGGTAACCGCCGGTGGGGCGGTGATAGGCAATCGCGGCAGCGTGGCAGCTGGCTCCACTGGGCATTGAAGATCGTAATGTTTGGGGCATGTGTCCATGTGCCCCGGTTGGCGTGACGGTGGGTAAATAGCAGGGGTGATGCCGGGCCAGAAGACCGATGACTCTGCTTGGGCCAACATCAACGTCACACCTTGATGGGCAGAGTGCAGTGCTAAGAGGACATCATGGTGTAAGCTTGGGGGAATGACGACCCTCTCCTTGTAGAGAACTACACCATCTATTGTATAGAAGTCATCCCGAAACTGATGATACTCCTGCAGCTTTTTCGGCAGCTCATAGCAGAACTCAGACAAGCCTCGCTCAACCAATCATACAAGCTCATTCATGGCTACATCACTCGCTGTCGCCTCTTGCACCTTCCCCCATGTCAAAGCTATGCAGTGCAGTGCCGCAACAGCTGACTGTTGTAGATTGTCATCAAAGTCATCCGGGTTGTCGGCTTTTAGCACACGGATGCCAGCTAAGAACGAGGGCTGGAGTAGGGGTGGCGTAGCCAGGCAGTCATGTCGACAGCTGCAATGTCATCGCTCAGTTGCAACTTATTAGTCATCTGAGGGCCACTGGGGTACCTTGACACCGAGTCCGCCGCTTTGTTTTTGACACAATTCTTTTGAGAAATTCGTAAGTGACTTCACTGCGTATCTCCTTGTATCGCATATCTCCTTTTATCGCGCACCACGCTAGCTGTACTACCCTACAAACCAACTTGTATATACCAATCAATGTACCACCCAAGTTACCATCTTACCCAAGCTATAGAATATCACCCTACCCACGCTATGGCATATCACCCTACCCAAGCTATGGCATACCACCCTACTCAAGCTATAGCATACCACCCTACCCAAGCTATAGTATACCACCCTACCCAAGCTATAGTATACCACCCTACCCAAGCTATAGCATACCACCCTACCCAAGCTATAGTATACCACCTACCAAGCTTAATAGCATAACCCACCCTAACCAGCTATAGTAATACCACGCCAACCTTACCCAGCTATACCCACCCTAACCAACTAGAGTAATACCACGTACGCCAAGTATAGTATACCACCCTACCCAAGCATAAGTATACCACGCCTACCCAAGCTATAGTATACCACCCTATCCAAGCTACTAGCATGACCCAACCCTACCGCAAGCTATAGTATAGCCACCGCACGCTTACCCAAGCTAACATACAACCCTACAAAAGCTATCGGTATACGTATGCCATCCTACCAAAGCTATATTAATACCACCGATCTACCAAGCTGTATTATATACCACCTTAACCCCCAAGCTGTACCCTACCCAAGCTATCGTATACCACCTACAAAGCTATGGTATACGTACCATCCTACCCAAGCTATAGTATACCACCCTACCCAAGCTATGGTATAAATACCACCTTACCCAAGCTGTACCCTACCCAAGCTATAGTATACCACCCTACCTTACCCAAGCTACATACAACCCTACCAAAGCTATGGTATACGTACCATCCTACCCAAGCTACAGTATACCACCCTAACCAAGCTATAGTATACCATCCTACCCAAGCTATAATATACCACCCTAATTTGTACAAAACACAGAGGAATTTCTCAGTGCTGAGAGAAGCCGGTGTGTGTTTTGATGCACGGAAACACAGGCAAGCCAGTACATGTAGCGTGAGAGAGATGGTGGTACAGACCCAACACACTGATACAACACGCACACACACACGAATGCCACTAGGGACAGCACGTCTCCCAAGTCCGACTCAGGGGAGAGATAGTGATCCGCTAGATGGCGCATTATTAATTAACAATTAATAAAATCAGTTAACCCTAACCCTAATCCTAATCCTATCCCTAATTCAAAAAAATAATAATGATAATAATTTGGCGCCTTTCGGACTTGGGAGACGCGCTGCCCCTAGTCGCAGCCCACACACACACACGTACACACATGTACACATGCACGCACGCACGCACACACGCACACACACACACACACACACACACGCACGCACGCACACACACACACACATGTACACAGCTTTCCCCATTCCTCAAATTGTCTAAATAATACCAAGAGTAGATAATAAACATCATAATATAATACTATGTTTTATTATCTACTCTTGATAATACTGTTGTTCTGCCTGGATTAAACGCTTTGCAAGTACTTTTCAGTGCATGTTTTGACAAGCCAACTTACTAACAAATAGAACGTACATAGGTACATTTCAAAAGTACAACGTCAATGGTAAAGACTAAAGTACAACGTAGTCGTAGAAACAGGACTGAGAACAGAAATGTAACAACATTAACAAATAAGTTAAGGTTAAAAAGTACAACGGTAAAGTACAACTTAGAAACAGGAGTGCGAACAGAAATATAACAATATTTAAAAGGACGAATGCACATAGAACTTAGAAGACATAAACATAACAGTACCTGCAAATGCCGCATCAGCAGGCTGTATGTTAGACTGGTACCCGTCAAGGGCGCAACCACTGGGGGGGTCGGGGGGGTCACGACCCCCCAAACTTTTATGTGGACCTCCCCAACTTCTGGAAGACCTTATCTTCTGGGGAGGTCCAAAATAGTCCGATAAGCGTTTATTATCACGTGTTCTGCTCACGCCACAATCAGCCAATGGACAACAAGCACATGCATAATTTCTGATCACTGAACACAATGCGCTCAAATACAATGCACTAAATCACAATGCATTTTTTTTCAGTACAACGTTCGTGTGTTGAGTCTGTTGACTGCATGTTGACTGTTGAGTGTTCACTGTTGTGCTCATGTGCTGATAAGAAAACATGTGCCGTAATCAAAACATTTCTATGATCTATCTGACATGGATATTAGAAGATTTTTGAAAAGACGTGCAGAAGATCCCGAAGATGACCATGAGGCATCCCCATCATGTTCTGTCCGAGCAACCAGTGCTGGGGTCATTGAAGAAACTCAGGAATCTTCAGATGAGGGTCAGACTGATACTCATAAGCTAGTTACAGCATGTACAAAGCTACAGCTACCGTTGCAGGTATTATATTTGCTTTATTATTTCAGTAGGGGGGAGCGGGGAGAAGTGGAACACAATTTTTATATTTTTTTATTGTAAGCATACTTCCTACATAGAATGATTATTATGTTATATTCTTAATGTGGTATAAGTCTCGTCTACACGACGAACCTTAACTCGAGTTAAGCGTTAACTCGAGTTAGCGATTATGTAGCGTCTACACGACAACACCCGATGCGTGCGTGCATGCGTGTGTGTGTGCGTGCACGTACACGTGCGTGCATGAGTGTGTGCGTGCGTGCGTACGTGCGTGCGTGTGTACGTACACGTGCGTGCGTGTGTACGTACACGTGCGTGCGTGCGTGTGTACGTACACGTACGTGCGTGCGTGTGTACGTACACGTGCGTGCGTGCGTGTGAACTTACACGTGCGTGCATGTGTGCGTGCGTCCGTGTGTGCACGTACACGTGCGTGCGCGCGTGCGCGCGTGTGCAGGTACACGTGCGTGCGTGTGCACGTACACGTGCGTGCTTGCGTGCGTGCGTGTGTACGTACATCGTACTATTACTAGTGTTGCCGCCTATCGTGGAGTTATGTACTATTCGCTAACTTGAGTTAAGCGTCTACACGGGGCCTTAACTCGAGTTAGCTCAACCTCGATCGACTGGCGAGGTTAAGCTAACTCGAGTTAACGCTAACGTTAGACGTGTAGACCCGTGTAGACGCTTAACTCGAGTTAAGGTTCGTCGTGTAGACGAGGCTATATACCCCATCCCCCATGCACTTTAGGCGGCCATCTATGATCTTGGATTTTTTCGGACCAAGTTTCGAACTCGTATATTGAGCAATTTTACAATATTCATTATTCTGACTCTGTTGTAACAAAGCTCTAAAACAAATTCATTCATTCATTTCATTCAGAAACTAAAGAAGAAAACTCTTCGATATCAACCCACTTGGAAGGAAAAGTACCCATGGATTGTGGAGGCGTCTAATGTAGGCGTCCTTTGTAAAATATGTGTGACTGCAAAGAAACAGGGATTACTGAGTACAGCAGATGGTCGGTGTGAGAATACCTTTATCTCTGCGGGGTTTGTCAATTGGAAAAACGCTTTACTCTGCTTCCAGAAGCATGAAAAGAGCACTGTACATGCATTTGCCTGTGCTCAGCTGGAGCATAAATCCAAATCTCCAGCTATCAACCTACAACTGTCGAGCAAGGTGCGTGCTGATCAAGCTACGGCATTCTGTATGCTGAAAAAGATAATCAGTTCCATCCGTTATCTGGCGAGACAGGGACTTGCATTACGCGGTCATGAGCACGACGAGGGAAATTTTCAGGAGTTATTGAATCTTAGGGAGGAGGATTGTCTGGACCTAAAAGTGTGGCGAAACGAAAGATACAAGAATTTCACTTCCTGGGCAGTTCAGAATGAATTGCTAGAATTGATGGCACATTCTATCATCCGCACAATCTGCGTTGACATTCGCAAGGCAAGAGCATTTGCTACAATAGTTGATGGAACAACAGATATCACTGTACAAGAGCAAGAATCAATTGTTGTGCGTTACACTGATGCTGATCTTGTGCCCCATGAAGTATTTTTTTTTTTTGCACAGAACAGTGGCACAACAGGGGAAGCACTATCAGCCATGCTACTTGATGTATTGATTCGTCTCAACCTACCACTGTCAACTTTACGTGGACAAACATATGATGGGGCCAGCAGCATGAGTGGCAAATTCAACGGCACACAGGCTTTGATTGCTAGTCAACAACCATTGGCCATTTATGTGCATTGTCTGATGCATGCAGGGAACCTCGTAGCTCAAGAAGCGATGGAATCCTCTGGTGTTGTCCAAGATGCGGCATCATTGACAAATGAAGTTGCTGCTACCTGCAACCGATCAACCAAATTAACCGCCATTCTCCGGGGCATTCAGTCACAGAAGCATGACCGTGCCAGCCTGCGTCCACTGTGCCCAACAAGAGTTCTAGTTAGAGGAGCTGCTTTAACCCTTTGACTGCCAACCGCGGGATATCCCGCGGTTTTTACTTCCGGTATTTTCTCTTGAATAAAACGCTCAATTCAGTGCAGTTTTGACGTCATATCCTGCAGCTTTGTTCTCTCAACAGTTTTCGCGAAATTTCCCTGGTTTATTTGCTGTTTTCTTCGGATTTTTTTTGTTTACCTGCAGTTATGAATGTTGGTAAGTTTATGGAACTAGCGCACAGAGATATTTTCGACATTGAGGCATATTGTCTCAATAATGTTCCAGATGATGGAAATCAAAGTGACACGGTTGAATCCGACTGTGGTGAGAGATTAAGATAGGACAGTGGCAAATGCTAGTAACGACGACAGCCAAATTGATGAGGGTGAATTGAGTGATTCAAGTGACAGTAACTCACAATGTAGTGATAATGATAGTAGTGATGATAGTAGCACGAGTGATGACAGTCTATCTGATCAGAGTGACAGCAGTCACAGTGACAATGATGATGATCAGTGGGCAGCTATCTCAGCCAACAATCCTGGCAGAGACTCTACTCCTATATTTACAGGTACTTACATGTGAACCTAAGCCGTAATTTACTACGTTTGCGTGTGCATGTGCGTGTGTGTGTGTGTGTGTGTGATGTTGTTCCTATTCATGCTGTACTAGTCTAACATCTCTCTGTGTAGGCCAAGAAGGCGTTTGTGCTCTGCTACCAGAAAATGCCACAGCACTAGACTACTTTGCAAACATTTTCCCTGAGAGTATTTGGAATCTGCTAACAACAGAAACAAACCGATATGCTACTCAGCGAGGCAGGTATTTTGAGCAAACGACTGCACAAGAAATGAAGGCTTTTATTGGTTTGGTTCTGGCAATGGCCATACATAAGCTGCCACAAATCAACAATTACTGGAGTTCAAACTGGGTGCTGAATGTGCCGCAGTTCTGTCAGGTGTTTACAACAAAAAGATTTTGGGCACTTTGGTCGAACATTCATCTCGTCAACAATGAGACAGCCTTGCCACGGGATCATGCTGATCATGACAGGTTATTCAAAGTAAGGCCTATTCTCAATATTTTGACAAGAACATTTGAAGATAACTATTCCCCAGGCCAGTGTGTAGCTGTCGATGAAAGCATGGTTAGGTTCAAAGGTCGCTCTTCTCTCAAACAATACATGCCCATGAAACCTATCAAAAGAGGTTTCAAAGTGTGGTCAGCCTCATGCTCTTGTTGTGGGTACTTATACGGTTTTCAGGTATATACTGGTAAAGTACCTGGATCAGAAAGCAAAGGTATGGCACACCGTGTGGTAGCTGATCTGACACTACCATTACTTGCTGGTAAAAACCACATTGTGTATGTAGACAACTTTTTTACATCGTTGCCACTGATTACAGAACTTCATCAGAATTCTGTGTATTTGTGCGGTACATATCGAGCATCACGTGTGGGCTTTCCACGGGAGCTACAGGACAGTAATGCAATCAAAAGGTTAGAGAGAGGTAACAGTATCATGATGGTCAAAGGAGAAATTGCAGCTTGTGTCTGGAAGGACAAAAAACCTGTGTATGTTGTTTCCAATGCACACTGCCCAAGAATCATAACGAATGTCAAACGGAGGACCCATGATGGTAGCCGTATTCAAGTGAGTAGTCCACAGATGGTATCTGAGTACAACAATTACATGGGTGGTGTAGACCTGCTTGACCAGATGAAAGGCTGCTATGGCTACTCTCGCAAGTCTAAACGCTGGTGGCTGAGACTTTTATATCACTTTGTGGACGCTTGGCATGACAAACTCATTCATGCATCTAACCTCCATAGTTACCAGTATTACTGGCATCCACCGATGCTTGTAGTCGTCCCAAAAACAGCTGATCATCGCTGTGAACTGATTTGACCAGCTAGTAAATCATTTTACTAGCAGAAAGCAAATTGGGCAAAGACAGTTTACTTCCAACTTGTGTCACTCACACCAAGTGGACATAACGTGTGTGATTTACGTACGTTTGGGATCAAAGCTGCGGCGGTGTGAGCAGCAGCAAAGGGAAGAACAAAAGTAGAAAACGCAAAGAAACACAGTTTGGGTGCCCAAAATGTCAAAAAAGGCTGTGTCAACAACTGAGTGCTGGGCATCGTTTCACAGACAGCTGCTGCCAGATTAGTGAAACACCAGTGTTAGTATTGTGACAGATTTTGATGTAGTCATTCATGAATATTCGCCTGTATAAACATGTTTGTTATTTTATTATTGTTTTTGTTATGACACTTATCTGACAACAAACTGTTCACTTGCAACTATCAGTATTGTGGAATCCACTTTTCCAAACTAACTTTGTCCTAACTTTTGTAACTATAGCAAAATACCATAATCTATAGCTGGCAGAGACAGAAAACGCCTTCATTTCATTGTGTTTTCAAAAACAATGCTGGCAGTTCAAAGGCGTTAATAAATGTACTATCAATTATGCTTTAAATATCTCTTAATGGTGGCCTTTTTTCTGCCATATTGGTTGCGTTTCCTATCGATTTTTTATTACCAATTACCAGGGTTGTCTATGCCTCGTTTATATCTGTGGGTTTCAATTGGGGACACGGGATATTATGTTGTAATTACATATTTTTTTGTTGGTGCAATGGTCAATTGTGGAAAATACGAAATTTTCATGAATATTTGTTCAGGCTCATCTTTTGTCCTTTTCCTATACAATATCCCAGGTTCTTTTTTGTTACATTTTTATAAAACAGTATATCAATGCAATAAATATTCTGAAAAATGTGAAAGTCATTCTTGGTTTCTATGGCCAAGTATCTCAGTAAATGGGGCCCGTCTCTACAACACCCGTATCTCCGGCATGCATGTGTCGTGTCTTAGTAATATGGGGAGCAACAGCAAACCATGTTATACATAGATATAGTCCATTGACGTTATTACGCGACTAAAATTATTTGTGTAATTGAAATTATTGTTTGTGACCTGATTCTCTGTCCTTTTTCAGGTTACTTATCAGCCTGATATCTGGATTGCTCCTGACACATTAGTTAATACTTTCCGAATCTTTTATAAAAAGTACACTAGCGTGAAAAACACGGCTACATTAAAACAAGGTACTTGATAATTGTTTTTGCGCGGCGAGCAAAGGGAGAACGATTACGAAAGAACGAGTGCAGCAGCTGAATGGATATTGTCAAGGACTCCTTGGCAACTATTGAAGTCTGGCGGCAGCGTAGGTGTGTATGTTACATGGGCGGTTCACTGCTTTTTTCATAGCCTGACATTCAGAACACGCTCATTACACGGGCTGTCAGAACGGGTCACATTGGGTGACATACCCAAGTAGGAGACCACAAAACGACTATCACACGGNTGTGTTCCATCCATTATACACCCACATATCAAATATTAGTATGAACTTATATTTATATTCCAGATCTCGCAGCACAATGCCTATTAATATTGACTGAAATTGAGCCTCATATTTTACAATAGTAATTTTAGGGAGTGTTTTGATAGCATTAGTATTTATCTTTGCAGGCCAATCAGAAAGTCTTCATTGATGGCAGACCGTGATAACCTCAGTCACAACGTGCTGCATCTCTCTAAGCAGCACTACAAGTTAGTTGGGCAGCTAATTGCACTCTCCATTATGAACAGTAGCCTCTCACGTGTGTGTCCAGCAACCCGGATGACTGCGAGCCGTTGACGCCAAACCACCTACTTCTGCTTCGTGCGGGCTGGACCGCGCCCCCAGGTGTATTCAGGAAGGAGGACGTGTATCGTCATCGCTGGAGGCACGTGCAGTTCATAGCGGATCAGTTCTGGAAACGTTGGCTACGTGAATACCTTCCCACACTGCAGTTCCGTAAGAAATGGACAGAGGAGAAAGACAATCCTAAAGAAGGTGACATTGTGTTGGTTATGGACGAACTTACACCAAGACTTGAATGGCCATTGGGTCGTGTTCTTAGAGCACATCCTGGAAAGGACGGACTGATTAAGTCTGTAGAGATCAGGACTCGGTAAAATGTGTTGGTGAGACCAGTGAGCAAGTTGTGTCGGTTAGAGGCTGTAGCCTCGTATTAGATTTGCAATGGATGGGGTCAAAGGCCATAATACCGCCTCCCATCCGGGAGTGTACGACGTGCTCTGCTCCGCAAATCTACAGTGTGTTTGACGCGTGGCTAGCTTGTATGTTAGTCAGTCTGTATGTTAGTCAGTCTGTATGTTGTGTATTAGCTTATATATTGACATATTTGTATTCGATGATTACATGTAACCTATTGTGTAATTGTTTGACTTAAAAGAATTTGTAAATGCTCTATAATGTCGCATTTAGGGGCCGGGATGGTGCGGACAATTCAGTTCTATCAGGCAGATATTTGAGCCAATAATTTGTTAGAATTATTTCCCTTGCATTGCGCTAACATTGGAGCATTGTGCACACTAGCAATCCACCATTGACGAGAGAGGGCGCTGTGTAATACAGAAATAGTCAAATAAGATAGAAATAGGATAATTGCATAATAACCTAAGTAGTCAGAGTACGGGACAAGCCTTTTGTGTAAACGCGCAGCTGACCTCGTACGCTACCATGCACTATATGCCGCTGAACCATGCAGCGTGACAAGAACCTAAAGCAATAGGAGGGCGCAGTATATATAACCATTGTGCACGCAGCACGGCGCGGGCAGGCTCTCTACTATTTGCACTCTGACTCTACGAAAGTGGCAAGAGATATTCTTACTGTTTTCACCGTTGACGAATACTACTATATATATGTAAGTTCATGTTTGTATGTCGCGTACACAGCTGTACACTACTGTTCACTATTACGGGCATATATATGTTACCGTCATTCCCGACCAGTAAATATGTTGTGTTTGAAATACGTACCTTCAGTGTTGGCTAATTTATGTATAACTAGCTGAAACCCGCGCTACGCGCG